TGCAAGATCATCTAGTCCAACAGTCCTCCCATCACCATTACTACCACAAGTTACTAAACCACATCTTGTAGCTACTCATCCAGACACCTCTTGAACACTGCCAGCTGGTGACTCCACTACTTCACTGGGCAGGCCGTTCCAACACCTGAACACCTCCAGAGAAAATTTTTTTCCTTATACCTAATATAAATATCCCTTGGCACAACTTGTGGCTGTTTCCTTGGGTCCTGTTTGTTGCCTGGAGAAGAGGCCAAACCCCACCTCATCATGACCTCCCTTCAGGAAGCTGTAGAATGCAATGAGGTCTCCCCTGAGCCTCTTTTCCAGACTAAACAATCTCAGCTCTGTCAGCTGTTCCTCATAAGATTTGTGCTCTGGACCCCTCACCAGTTTCATTGCGCTTCTCTGAACACGTTCCAGGGCCTCAATGTCTTTCTTGTATGGAAGGGCCCAGATCTAATTCTAAAATGTATGACTATGAGTCAACCATCTTACCACTAAGAACCCCTTTGAGAGCTCTTCAGGCAAGCAGCTGGCTGCACACTGGAATCTCCCCTCTATCATGAACACCCCTTGAGGTTACGAACGCCTGCACAGACATTCACCCAGGATATGGTGATGCCTTGCCAACAGATTCCTGGTATGTGATATATTGCTTTTAAGCTAAACCACCTTCACTAAGATTTGATCTTAAATTCATTGTCTACCTCCCACCTCCCGTGTAGCAAATGCTTTAGGATATCTAGCCATTTTAAATCTTGTTAAGTCACTGTCATCAGTGTTCAAATTACCATGTTGTATCTAATTTATATCAATAAATAACTTTCTGCCTTCCTCTTACGAGTAAAGCGTGCACTGCTTTGGTCTCCATCCACAACAATGTGTGCATTTTATTTATGTGGCTGTATGTTTGAAACCTTTGAATTTTCTGCATATAGTAAACAGGAATATAAAGCAACCCCAGGTCCCAAATGCTAAGCCAGAATTGAGCTACAGTAAACACCAGCTTTTAATACTGGGAATCAAAACTCCATTTATATCTGTTATCTCAACTCTGTCTGACAGTGATAAACATTTTTTTGCAGCAAATCTATTCAAGAAACATTTTCTGAAACACTTACAGAGGATTTTTATTGCATTAACACATCCTAATACCCTTCAGCAAAAGGAAAGAAAAAAAGATTTCATTTCTTAGCAGATCTCATCAGATATCTCCAACTGTCTCTTCTACAACTGTAGGCCATTAAATGATATCTTCTAAAATGGCCTATATATTCATAGCTCTGGGACAAGAATAGTTTAAATACAGTCTTAAAATACACTATGATAAAAGTTAGATAAGTATAGAGTCTAGTGTAATTCCTGAAAACTACCTATTGGAGGTTGACCTTTACTAATTCATATGGGTCTACGATAACCTTTCCTGAAAGCAAAACCTGCATACCTCAGAGGACTTTTAGGGCTGCAAATCTGCTCTCAGACAGCCAAGCTCACATTCATTTTCCTGCCCATAGCTTTATTTTGCCATTTCCAACCCTGCCTTAGTTGCACCTTGCAGCAGAAAGCTCTGACAGGCCCTCCATGTGGCTCATCCTGTACAACCTTTCCATCCCAGCTCTTCCACTCCCCTGGTACCATGTACTGCAGCATCTCACTGAACTTCAGGCTTAAACAGGCTGTATCTGCAGAAATTTCCTTTCTCCATTTTGTGCCACAGAAAGATGGAAGAGGTGTCTGCCCCACGAGAAGCCAAGAGGCACTTGAATTAAGAGCAGAACAACCAGAGCATCCTAGCTGCTTCAGCTGAGAAACAAGGTTTACGCTTGTAGTGAAAGCCCATTTCAGAATAATACACAAACTTAGATATATCCCATCTCAGCCTAGAAGCTTTGCTGAAAACAAAGGATTGGAGACCGAACTGTGTCATGCTTGCTCTTCTCTGCAGTGCAGTGAGTGCCCCCAAATTCAGCTGCCTGTGTGAACAACAGTGTCCCTGGATCTGTGCCATGATACCAGAGCATCCAGTTTAATAAAGGGCCTTATCTACTTGAAAAGTAATCCTCTGTCACCTGAGCCCCATTAGAACATCATGCACTTTTTGATATTGTAATGAACTATGTAATTTGAGGAGTAGGGACCAGAAGTCCAGTCTGCTTCCATTTGAGAAATACAGCTTCCCTGAGGCTCTGCTTTCCATTACAAATGATGAGCAAGGACCCAAACATTGCCACACTGAAACAGAACTGAGAAGAAATCAAATATCCCCAGACTGAGAACAAATCCCAACTCATCTACTACAAATAAAATTTATCTCTATTATCTCCACTTTTTCCCAGAAATCTATTTTTTGGAGCAATATCGGCTCTGCTGCTGTTGATACCTGTGCTTTGGAGGAGGACCTGGGCTGTGACCATATATACTAGAGGCTGTTCGAGCCTCACTTTTAGAACTTTGGTGCTCCTGCATGTGCCCAGAAATCCTGCATCATTCAGAATGATCAGGACTACTATAAGTTTTAAGGTCTTTGATCATTTCTGAAATGATCTCTTTCTCAAACTCTTTCTCAAAAGTTTCTAACTTGTAACCTAAATTGTATTGCTGTCCTGAGATAAGCTCCAAAGTCTATAATATCATATAAAAAACACATCCCGAAGTAATGATGCCAATAGTTTTTAAAAGGTTAATGAACTGTATCTAAAATTTGTTTTTGAAAATTCTCTGTATTCTGTGCACACATTAGCACATCCTTTTGGCATTTTAAAATTCAAATAGATCTAGTTAGAAAAATGGCAGAACATATTTGAGTAAATTTCAAACCTATTAAAAATTCATAAGCTTAAAATTTACTCACAAGCTCACACATACACTTTAAGAAGTTTCTGCATGTCTTCTTTTGGCTGACCTACTATATCATAATAATGAAGTCATCCATACAGAGGACCAAGAAGTAAAAAAATCCATCAGATTACATGGATGACACCAGAGTATGGCTAAGTTTGTAAAAGTTGGGATATTCAAAATGAGTAAAAAAACTAAAAATGGGTGATGACAGATAGAAGGGCAATTAAAGAAAAATGTCAGTAGCAAGAACAGAAACAGTCAGTGTCACAGGAAGACAAATACAGGGATGTGTTATAGCAGAAAAAAATTGGAGAGCATTTTCTGCCACATTGCAGAGTACTCTGTGTCTGCCAGGCGGCTCCAAGTGTAGCAATATTGCATCAACAGAACCATATGAATTCTGTGTACACCAGGCTTTCTATCATTCACCAGCTTCTCATATTTGCAACTTGTACTGCCAAATTTTAGCAACTTCCTTCAAACACTTTTTCCTTCCTCCTCAAGACAATCATCTCTTCTCAAAAGGCTGATATTGTAAGAGAATACTAGCAGAGCTTTCTGGATACCTTCTGACAAGCTGTAAAAATCAGTGATGGCCAGGATGCACACAGATTAAAGCTAAAATAAAGAGCAAGGAACAATGCAAGCTGCCACATTCGGGCAGACACAAAATCCATGTGTCAAAGGGCAGATCTGCTAGGATGGAACTGGTCTCCATGAGATACAAGGAGCTAGACACTGCTAAGACTCATCATCAGGATTCTAGAAAAAGCACTGAGAGAAAAGGAATGTGCTGTCCAGGATAGGGGATTTGTGAGGTCCAGCATCCCTTCCACCATCCTTTTACAAATAAGACTATTTTCAAAGTTCATCTATATAATCTGTCATGTAATTTTACTCACCTAATTAGTTACGTATACACAGTAAATATCTGCAAGTAACAGGCCCTAGAATTTCAGAATGGCTGAGGTGGGAAGGGACCTCTGGATCCATTTGGTCCAACCCAGAGAAGGGTACCCAGGATCACATCCAGGTTGCTTCTGAAGATCTCCAAGGAGGAGATTCCACAACCTCTCTTGTTAACCTGTGCCAGTGCTCCATATCCCACATATCATCCCCACATAGATTCTTGCTGTTCAGAGGGAATCTCTGAATTTATGCTCACTGCTTCTTGTCCTGGCACTGGGCACCAGTGAAAAGATCATCGCTCCATCTTTGCATTCTCCCTGCAGGTATTCATAGACTCCTTCACATTCATTGGTGAGATTCCCCCTGAGATCCCTCTTCTTTGGCTGAACTGCCCCAGATCTCTCAGCCTGTTCGCATAGGAGACATAATGCTGTTCTTCAGTCACTCTTTCCAGTATGTCCAGATCTCTTCTGTACTGGCATAGCACTCCACATGTGGCCTCATTGATGATGAGTAGAAAAGAAGGATCACCCCGCTCTATCTGCTTGCGATCCTTTGCCTAACACAGCTAAGAATACCATTAGCCTTCTTAACAGCAGGGGGACATTTCTGACTCATATTCAACCTGTTGTCTATCAGGACTCCATTGCTTGCAGAGCTGTTTTCCACCTGGGTGAGCCCCAGCACATTCTATTTCAGATCACTAAGTTCTGTTTCAAATAAATCACTGAGTTCTGATTCAAATAAAACAATATTTAATATTGATGCTACAACCCTCAGCCATAATCTATTCTAATTGACAAAATAAAAGAGAAGTATCAATATAAATTGGAATAAATCTTGGCATACAATTCTATAAATCATAATGTCACAAATAATATGCTATTCTAAATTACAGAAGTTTAAAAGAGAACTAAACCTAATTTGCTTGGAAGCCTTCTCCTTTTTTTCCAGATTCCTGTACATGCTATAAACACAGATTGGACTAAGCAGATCTCATTGGTTTTATGTCTCGGCAGACCATGGCTGAAATCTCATTCTAAGTAAGCCATCAAACTTAATTGATCTACTCAGCAAAAAGCATCTCACATAAAGAGGCTTGAGAAGCAAACAAGAAAGCACAATATCCATCTATGTAATCATCTTTTTCTTTCTGACCACTGTAGAAATTATCTAGAATAGACACCTTATTTAAGGGAGAAAGAAACAACAGATTCTTCTGATTTGAACATGTACAGAGAGTACTTTACCTGCAACTGTCAATATTCTTTCTTCCCACAGCATTAGAGAAGTTGAAAGGTCCCACATTATTGATTTCTATTACTTGTATACAGCCAGTGAAATTGTAGACAGGTCCAGGTATCTACAAAGGAGAAAAATGCACTCAGTTCTTATGCTTGTTGTCTTTATAATCAGTTTTTAAAAGCATTATGCTTCTGTAAAAGATTTCTAACATACCTCAACTTCACTGCTGAAGAACCCTCCTGGTTCTTTATTTTACCATTATGGAATTCTATCAAAAACCTTTGAAATGACAGCAAATAAGCAGGACTGCCTTTTGAAAATCAACTCTGGACACAGAAACAGCACAGCAGGCACAGTAAGATTTCAGCAAGAAGTGGACTTGTCTAATTTTAATCAGGTGCCTGGTTTTTTTTTGGTTTTTTTTTGGGGGGGGTGTTTTTTTTTGTTTTTTTTTTTTTTTTTTACAGGTGAACACAGGACACAGGGAATAGTAAACAAGAAAGCTTTGAAAAATCTACTTTCAAAAATCTACTTTTAAGTTTACTACTTCCCTGCTCAAAAGATATCTAGCACCATTAATCATGATTCAAAGCTGCCTAAGGACCTACTGAGAATAAGACTAGAGGCACTGAAAAAGAAAAAACAACCCACAAACAAACCAATCAACAATAAATTGCCACTTAAACAAGCAACACTGACACAATATGTTGGCAAGTGTTATAATGCATAAACAAGCCACCCAAAACGTTGCAGCCAAGACTCTATGGAATCGGTGACTGAACTGAGATAGGGTTCTGGTCACACCAGGCCCACATGTACATATTCACAGTGCCAATGAACCGGTGAGAGTCCATAGTTTTGCAATAAGTTTAATGTCTGTGGATTTACATTTTATGCCACAGTGAAAGAGGGTACGACTTGAGTCATCTAAATAACAGATGGCTTAAACACAGAGGATGAGAAGTAAGACACAGATTGGTCCTTAGCACAACCATTGCTAATACTGATGATCATTAAGGCAGGTTTAGATACCTGCAGAAGGAGAAGAGTCATTAAGGTATTTGTTTAGTATAGGAACGCTGTATAAAAATAAAGGAATATTTTTAAAGGAATTCAAGTAAGCATTCGAAAGGTTAAAGCTTATGCAGCTGAATACTTGAAACAAGCTATCAGAGATTCCCTCCTACCTAAAAAATAAAAAGCAAATAAACTAACAAAAGAAAAAAGACTCCACAGCCACCTAAACCTGTGATGTATAAATATTAACTTAAAAAAAAAAAAAAAAAAAAAAAAAAAAAAAAACAACAACACAAAAAACCAACCAAACAAAAAAACTCCACAACATCTATAAGGGATAAGAAGATATCCTTTAAAGGTTGAAGTCCTGTCCAAACTAAGGAGAACAGAGAATAACATAAGTGTTGGCAGTGAAAACCTAATAAAGCAGGCAAGGCAAAGAAAAATAAAAAGATTTTCAGTAACAACTTTATAAAGGCATAATGATGAGCATTAAATGCTTTTTAAAATCCAACAGGAACAGGAAGCCTGCCAGAAAGGTAGGACTAACACACCATCAAAGTACAGAGTTTTCAAAGAGATATGGTTCTAGCAGGAAACATAAATGAACTCACCAAATAAAAAATTAATGCAAAGGATCTCTGGGAGGTTCCCATGCCAGAAGCCCTTTTTAGAAAGAATACATCAGAGATCTGTCTCACAATGAAACACCACTAGAAAAGGTTTTAAAATAAATTAACAAAGTTGAACAGTAGTAGGGAGAAAAAAAAAAAAAAAGCAAATAGTGTCTAACTGAAAGGAATTAATGAGCTATTTTACTACAGTCATCACTTGAAATTGGCTTCCAGATCACAGGAATGGAAGATGTGAACTTCTGTTTTTGTTTTCAATTGATTGTTTGACCTTTTTTCTGTTTGGCTGATTGGTTGGTTGGTTTCCTTTGCTTTTTATGATTTGGGAAAGGATGACAAGACAGGCAAATGCAAGAGCACACCTCAAACTACAGGTCAGTAAGTCCCATTTCCATTCTAGACCAATAAAACCACCTTAAAGAACAACAGGCACACACATGAATATAACATACCGGGAACAGTCTAGATGGTTTCTGAAAAAGGAAATTGTAACTCATAGGAGGAATACAACATATGGAAGAGATGCCTTCATACATACTCTTTGATTTCCAAAAGGCTTTTAACAAGTTCATATGCTAATGGACTTTAATGTCACTCAGTCACCTTGGCATAGTAAAGGCCTTCAATAAATGAGAAGAATGGTTAAAATAGAAACAACAAGAAAGGGAATAGTGAGCTTTCTCAATTATGGAGAGCCCCTAGAAAGCCTCTGAGAAATCTGTATTGGGATCTGTGTTCCTCAGCTTATACACAAGTTACTTAGGGTAGCAATCTCCAAATCCTGAGAAGAGATGCAAGAGAATTTCAAAATATGCAAAAAAATAGAAGGTATACAGGGATCAAGATGCATATGAGTTTCTGAACAGACTGACTACAGAGATCAGGAATCTTGGAAAATCCACTGTCAAGGAGAGTTAAGAGAAGTGTGCAGATGAACGAAGAGTTTCCACAGTTTCTTACAGTACAGGATCAAAAGGACACTAAATTACATAAATCAGTACCACGATGAAAGTACACCTGAAAGGTGAACTTTTCACACAACTCAAAGTTAAACTGAGAAACTCTGCCATGGTATTCTGTACATGCTGCAAATATAAGGGAGGTAAAAAAAAAATGAAATTAATAGAGATTTTTCCAAAAGAATCTTCCCTTTTTCTATTCTTCTTATTAGAAATCCTTAAAAGAATTATGGTCCGTAGGCTATCTATTTGCTTTCTTCTTTACCAATCAGCAAAACATTTTTCATATTGTGATGGCTTCTTGTTCTCTCCAACTCACTGAAGTCTGCCTTTTACTTTAAATGAAAAACTGATTTTTAAAGGAGAGAATGGTTTTAATGTTAGGTTTTACTAGAATGCAAAACACTAAATCAGAACATGACAAACACTTAAGTAGATCTCTGGAGTGCTGGATGTTAAAAAAATAGATTAAATTGATATATCTTCCACATCCCTCTTTCTTGGTACGGAGAGTCCCTTCCTCTAGTCTTGCTTTTAAAGAAGCTCAATGACTCCAGCAATGCTCTGCATTCAAGATGTACACGGCTGCTCCTGATTCCCGAGGAAAATTCCCATCCTACTGTCACTTCTATAGGCTGACAATTCCAGGTAATCTTTGACTGTGCACTGTCCTACCAAGTATCACTTTTTAGTTTTTGTAAGTGGTACTTGTAAGCTTTTTTTTCCCTGCCTTTTATAAACAAATTCACTTTAAAATTAATGGAATGCTGTCTGTTGCAAATTTAATATGAACAAAGACATGAAGTTACACACTTCTGAGAAGCGACATGAGACCCGAAATATTGCCTGAAACAAAAACGAAAAAATATACAATGTTTTAATATTATATAAATTTTAATATATAAATCAATTTTTTAGAACCCTTCTCTCTCTTAAACATTTATGAAGCTTCACCAAAGCTTAATCATGATACTTTCCAGTCACAATCATGTAAGTTGTTCAAGTTGCCTTCCTTCTTGGGAGTGTAAAAGCAAACAAAGAAAACAAAAGGAACCAATAAAAGGAAAGGTCAGGCACAATAGAGCTTTAACATTTATGACATCCACTGTTCCTTGTTAAGTTCTTTCTAGACTCAATATCAAGTTAGTGTGGGGAGAATTCACTATGGCAACCTATGATCCATTTTGCACACTGAACAGAAAATTAATGCTTGGCTTGGGAATCAACCTTTATCTGAGCATTCCCCCAAGCACCGTTATCAGTGAATATTTTAATAACATGATTTCCTTCGCCCAGAAACAAACACACAGACTGAGTGCCTAACCATTTCTCTTACACTGATATTTGTATATTTTGAATGTAATGGATTTCTCTAAAGTACTATCAAAATTCCTAGAAGCCTCTTCTTGGTTCTGTAATCATAACTACATCACAAACACCCTGGTCAAACAATCTCTTGCTTCTGGAGTGCAATCTCGACAAATAAGCTATCTATACAAAATGTTAATGTATTCTTAAATGTATTTAAGAATAAGGGCTATTGATATAAAGAAATAAAAAAGTAACCATGTTTTATTCCACTATTTTTGAGAATAGATATTAGCTGTTATCAGCAGATTAGAGTATTAAAAACATAGAATTCACATTTCTCGGTTTCCTCCCACTTACAGAATTACACCCATATACTGACAGATTGTAATACTTAAAATGCCTGAAAATGTCAGGGTCATAGCAACACCAAAAATTAAATTGAGTACAATTCTCTATTCAGAAACTATGCAGATATGTTTGACATATAGTAACCATGCTCTTTAAATGCCCTTTATACTTGACAAAAATGAGTACAGATACTTACCTGGTAGGAAAAGTTCACACATATATGCCAAACCATTTATTAACATCCCTTATTGCCTAGCCTAAATTAGAGCTGCTGTTACGTAGAATTAGCCTAGAACTGAGTTCCTTGTAAAATGAGCTTGCATGCTGTCATTTCTCCACAGATTTGTAAATAATATAATTAGGTTTTGGCCTATGATCAGAGCTTTTTATTACAAAAACATAATTAAAGCAAAACAGAGCATAGTGTAATCTTTCCTCACTTGATTCGCCTCAGGATAGATTTTATACGTCTTAGAGTTTCTCACTATAGATATTACAGTGTACCACAGTGCAGTTTTTGGTAATCTTCCACGTTTTTTTTCCCCTGACACATCTATGTTGTTTGTCACTGCACTTCCCAATATTTACTTTTTTATACTCAGCTTCAACGCGAATACACATGCATTTTAATTGTTAGATAATGTAGCATAAAATAAATTGTATTAGATTTTAGTGACATTTCAAAATGTGTATGAAGATAAAAAGTGGTACTTTTTCTGAAAACAAAAGTAGTAAAAAGAAAACACCTAAAATACAGGAGAAGGAACATTACTTAAGTTTCTGTAGTAGTACTGGTTAAGTAATATGTAGGAAAGAAAAATGGAAAGGTATAAAGGTATAATTGCCTACGT